CCAGCCTGCTCTGTCCGCCACTTTCCTTCAGCAGACAGCCTGCAGCCTCCTATGCAGAAACCAATATTTATTGGCTGGGTGCAGGCGCTGTGCTAAGAACCGGACACACTGCGGGAAATGAAACAAATGCATATGCTCTCAGGGAGTTTCCATTCTACTAAGGCTTTTGCTCAACTGGGACGATAATGCCCTCAAGGGGATGAAACTTAGTTCTGGGGGTGCTGGTGAAAGAATCTTAGCACTCACAATGGTCTGTAATGCTCAGAAGGTGTGCTTGCTACCCACTGCCATGCAAGGAGCAATCGGGTGTCATCGCCAGGAGCAGCCAGTCCCCTTTAATCTCCAGTTCCCAGTTTCACGACAACCCAGTCCACAAGGGCTTCCACGATGTTCCCCAAACTGATCCTCTTCTGCCTTTTCTTTCTTCCCTCCTCAGCTTAGATTCAAAAGCCAAAGATTGACACATTAGACCTCCTGCCCTTTTCCCTACCTGGCAGGTAAAGCCTGGATAAACCCCACTACGTACTGGTCCCCTGCTTGCACCTGGCCAGTGGGCCCTGAAGGAGGAAGTCACCCAGCAGGACAGGACAGGACAGGACACACATCCATAGTGACTACCACCCTCAGCCAGGCTGGGAAGACTATCAGGTAACTGGGGATTTTGTGGGCATGTTGCTTCCCGACTGTCTGAAGAATGGTTTTCCTCCTTCCTGCAAGCTCCTCACCACCTCTTCCTGCTCTTAGCAGAAGACCTTGCCTCCCACTTGGCAGAAAAAAATAGAAGCTCCAGATGAAATCTCCCTTAACGTCCCACCACAAACCTACATCGACATCTGCACCCATCTTCTCTTTGTTCCCGCTTTGGGGTTCTACAGAAGTCATCCCTCCTCCTCTCCAGGACCAGCCCCTCCACCCACACGCCTGATCCCAGCGCCGCGCACGCTGCTCCCTCATTATCTCCCTTCCTTCCTACACCCTTGGTGAACCGCACTCCCCTTGATCTGTCACCAGCTTTTAAACAAACTCAGGGTGCTTCCACCCTAGAGCACACCTTCCCCAACGTACACATCCACGCACTCAGCTGTCTCCACCCCTTCACCCAGACTTCTCAAGACTCACTCGTGGTTCGTCCCTCCCGCACTTAGCCACGTCTGTCATCTGACCACGCCATCGCTCTGCACTCTGCGTCAATAGCCCTCCCAAGGGGCCCCAGCAATCTCCATACCTGTCGTTGAACTGAAGCCCATGCCTCCTTCATCTGACCTCTCGGAACAGTCTCCACTTCCTGAAGCTCCACCTATGGCTCTTTTCTTCCTTCCCTGGCCTTTCCACAGCCCACTCTGCTGGCCAGCCTCCCACCCCTCTGCTGCTCCTTCTCAGCCTTCATAAGCGAGTGCTTGTGTAGATAGTCCCAACCTGTGAGGGGGCCGCCTTCCCTCTCCGTCCTTCCCCTGGGGAATGTCATCTTTATCCACAGCCTCAGTTATTATCCTTCCACTGGCAGTGTCCCTTCCTCATCTCTAGCCCATACCACTATGCTGGGCCTGAACCTGGGCCTCCACACTCAGTGTCTGAAAGGCGTTTCAAGTTCGACCTATCTTAAGCAAAACTCAAACTTAACTCCCTTCCACTCTGTTCCCTCTTCACTCAAACCACCTTCCCTCCTGTCCTCTTCTGTTTTTCCCCATCTCAGTGAAGGTACTGCCCGCCTGCACGCACAGAAACTGGGAGCCTGCCCCGAGGTGCCCGCTCCCTTACCCTCTCGTTCCAGCACGTCTCTGTTTTCCTTCCTGATTAACACTGCGACCCATCCTCAGTTCTCCAACTCACTGCCATCAGCCCTGCCCCAAAGTCCTCTGCTAACCCTGACTGGTCCTTGCCACTCCACTCTCCACTGAGCATCCACATGGCCACCGTGAAGGTCATCAGCCTGTCCCTCCTGGCTTATGTTATCTGTGGCTTTCCATCACTCTTATGAGGAAGAGAAAGACCCTCAGCATGGCCGATCTTCAATGTGGAATCTACCCTGTCCCCAAACTCTACCCTCCCTCTGGGCCCTGCTACAAAGGCCACCCTTGGGCCAGCAGGTAGCATAGTGATTAAGGCACTGGACTCACACGTAGTTGACCTCAGTTTAAGTCCTAGACCTGACAGCTTAAAACTCATGCCAGACGCATGTGCGTGCATGCCCAAAATCCCAAGAGGAGATTGGAGGAGAAGGGATTGCTATGTGCCATCCCTTTTGGGGGTGATTTCTCACCTTCTCTCTCTGACTCTCCAGCAAGCGCATGCGCCCTATCGCAAAAAGCTCTCTCGCCTCTTCTCTCAGCTACACCTTCCTGCCTCAGGCCCTTAACAGATCCCCCCCTCTGTCCGGATTCGTCTTCTTCAGCTTCCCTTACACACAGTTCAGGTTTCCTTACAAACATCACTTCCTCAGGGAATCCCTAACCCCCAGGAAAAGAGAGATCACTCCTTGCGAAGTGCTCCCACAGTAATAGCGTACACACACACACACACACACACACACACACACTCACACGTATTCACTGCTATGAGGCACTCTCCCAACCATTTCTGCCTAGAGCTCATTTACTCATGACAACTCTGTGAGGCAGAAATTATAATTATCTCCACTTTACAGATAAAGAAACTATTTGTAACTGTATTGTATGACTATTTGTTTAGCATGCGTTCTAGCCTGTTTTGTGGCTAATAACAGAAAATACCTGAAACTGGGTGGTTTATAAAAATAGAGGTTTATTCTGCTTACAGCGTGGCGTTTCAGAGCCCAGGAACCCTTTCTGGTGGGGTTCTCCTGGCTGTCCCACAACATGGCAGAGGAAGGACAATGTTGCTTGTGTACCTTGTCTGTCTGTCTCACTTCCTCCTCATATAAACCTGCCGGAACTTAATCATGGGGCCACTGTCCTAATGACCCTCTCCTAATTTTTCCTCAAAGGCCCTACCTACACCATAATCACATCACGTTTTCACTTTCATAATCCCATTACAATGACTCAACCATGAATTTTAGGGAACATATCCAAACTGCAGCAGCATAAATAGTCCAAATGACTGAATGGAAATTAGTCTCCTTCCTCACCCACCGCCCTCAATCAGTCACCTGTTCCTGGCCATGTTTCTTCCTGGAACAGGAATCCCTAATGCTGGGAGGTCCAGGAATGTGCTTATCCATGACCTGAGCTTGGGTGGAAAAGGTTGTATATCTGTACACATTCAGAGTTTTGTGGAGCAAGGATTGGGTGGTTCTGCTCTCATCCGATTCTCAATGGACCCATGAAGTAAAGAACAGCTGGCTCAACTATCCTACCCCCTCCCCCAGCCCAGCTCATCCTCTCCCTGTCAACCTCCCCCCACAGCTACAACTGCCCGTCAATGCGGTTCCCACAAACCTATGCTTTGGTCATGGCAATCTTTTAAGAACATATGCCAAGGGACCAGCAGATGGCATAATCGTTACATCGCTGGACTCTCACATAGTCGACCATGGTTCAAGTCTCAGACCCAGCAGCTTAAAACTCACACCAGGTGCTTGTGCATGCGTGCCCAAAATCCTGAGCGGAGAATGGAGAAGAGGGGATTGTGGCATGGCCATCCCCCTGGGGAGCGATTTCTTGTTTTGTGACTCTTTGTCTCTCGAGCGCACACACCCTACAGCAAAAATCTCTCTTAAAAAAGCATAAAGTAAGCACATATGCTGAGATCGCCCTCCTGCATAAAACCAGTCAGAGTCTTATCAGTTTTGGAGCAAAATCCACAGTCTGCTGGGGAGATACGGGGTGTTGTAAGTCTTGTCTAGTTCTCCAGCCTTAAGTGTCCTTTGTCCTCTCTTCTCCCCAACTCTACAGCCCAGCAGCACGCACTGAGTTCTGTGTTTGAGGTTCCCAGGCAACACCAGGTGGGTTCCCATGTGACTCATGCGCAGCCATCTGCCTGGTGTGCCAGTCCTCTCTGCACCTAGAAATTCCTACGCTGGCTTTAAGTCTCAGCTTAGGTGTCTCTTTGGGGTGAGGTGCCCCTTTTTAGCGCTCCCATGGGCTATGTCTGTCCCTGACGATGCACACTGGGCATTGAATTATAGCCGCTTGGTTACCCACTGTCTCTCTCACCCCTGTAAGCTTTGAGAGCAACCACTATGTCTCATTCATCTTTTTATCCCCCAGCCCAGTCCAGTTTGCCTGAAGTAGGTGCTGAGGAAGGATTTGTCCAATCAGTGAAGGAATGAATAACTAAAGGCAACTTGAGCCTAGCTCCTGGGCCTTTCAGAATCTGTGAATGATGCCAGACGGTGTGTACGGTGTGTACCAAGATCGATCCGGAGAGAATGGAGAAGGGATTGCGGAGTGGCCATCCTCCCTGGAGGGTGGGGGGTGGGGGTGGGGAGGTG